TTTTTACATCGATTTGCGCTCTGAATACACGAAACTAGAACGGAATGGTCGGATGACCGGTAGCTCTCTCGATTCGAGAACGGTGTCTCGGCCGTATTGTGGTCGATCTACCCCGCTTCACAAGGATGAAATTAACACCGATCCGACTTTCGACCGAGAGCGAACTCGGATCGCGATATCGAACGGGAACCGATTTCGATCGGAGATGAGAAAAGGATAATCGATTATCCACCTCTTAAACGAAACTTGTTATACTTTTGCAATTCTAATTTTTGAGAAAACTCTCAAAAAAAACGAATCCAACGAAGAGAAACGTTTCATTCTCACTTCACTCTGTGCTTTGCTCTCGTTCTGGAACAAAAGGATTTCTCGGGTGAAACGCGAGCGAGAACGATCGATCTAGAGGGAAGCGAGTTCTCTATTATAGTGTGTGTATATATATATATATACACGTTGATAGGTTGTCCTCTACGACCTACGACTGTAAAAAAAAAAAACGATGATTGCATATCCGTAACAACCGTTTCTAACAACCGTCCAATTTCATCCGAGCGAAAGTGGATGATGTTTCCGTTCGTGAAAACTCGGTCGACAGAATCGGGAGAGTCGAGGGACAATTAGAAAATGGCGTACAGGGATTATTGGGAGGGAGGGATATAGAAGAAACTTGTGACGAATTGATATAAATCTTTAGATAGGATGGGAATCGTTCGAGATGAAACGATCCTCGGTTTAAGAGGAGCAGAGTCATCGTAGGAAATGAAACGACAAGTAGGGGACTGGAACGAGACGAAAGATGCGTAACCCACTTAACCGCAAAACGTGGACGAGATATGGACGCGACACATATCGTACCGGCGATTTGTAACACTTCCAATCTATACATACACCGTGAAAAATCGAGACTTCGAGCGATAAGTGTATTCAAAGCCTTGAAAGAAAGAAAGAAAACTCTTGGTTGGAATTTAAAAATCTTGGCGTTAAAACTTATTCTCGTGCAACTAACTTCGAATCAATGTTAAGATTCAATGTTGAGAATAATCAACCTGCAAGTTTGAATTTGCTCACGGTGTCAATAGTGGAATTAGGGTTGGGTAATAAGTTAATAGAAGAAACTCGTCGAGATATCTGTTGTAAGAAAGATATTGCGTCGGAATATCTCGTTCGCGATTACGAAGTGGTTAAGTAGAACGCTTAAGGAGAAGTAAAACGGCGTTGAAACGTTAGACCAGTGTTCCAGGATGGGATTGAAAAAAAAAGGAGATGGATTTTGAAGGAAGAGGGCGCGATACGTGGGGAATGAAGTAGGAGAAGTGGGTCGATTCGATTTTCAAAAGGAGTGCAGCTACTCGATCGTGTGGCACTTTCACTGATTAGCTACCGTGCAAACGCATTCTTGCCAACTCGCCATATGGTCGTCGATGGCACTTAATGATTAATCGTGGCAACACTTTCTCTCCGGGAATGTTTTAGAAGAATATTCGTATTTCCAGTGAACGAAACGATCAACTCGCCGATTCATCGATTATAAACAATCAAATTTGACTTAAAAAATTTAAAATATATTTGTCGTTTATTTTTCTCTTGAAATTCGAAGAAACAAACTTTCTCCGCGACCATCTCAGAGAGATGAGGATCGAAGCGAGAATACGTAAAAAATGAGGAGAGTTGTATTGTTATTAGGGTATCTTATCCGAAAACGGATATTTTTGTTTAAACGATTTTGTTTAAACGAAGGAAGGAATGGAAGGAAAGGATACAGGAAACACTAGATTATCCTCCTCGATTACGAATAACACGATTACGAATAAGAGAGCAGAAACTCGAGTTCGAAGATAATAGGCAGACTCGTATTTGACGCGTGTTTCTTTGTTTCGCGATCGAGGTGGCTTATTACGTAGTCCCGGCTGTTTGAAACGGCTGAACCGCGGTTGAAAAAAACTAGTCTAGACGGGTTCTTCTCCCGCCTCGGTTAATTCAAGAAACCTCTCATGCCAAGGAATTAGACACGGCGTGATAGAGATATCAATAACGAGAGGTGAAAGAGAGGGGAAAAAAGAAAGAAAGAAATATTTTAAAAAGCGACCACGGCCTTCTTCCTCTCGCCCGTCGATCAATCCCCCCAAGAACAACATCTTGGGAAAAATTTCAGTACAATGGAAGGATCGCATCAAGGAAATCCAGCATTCTTTCATCCATCTATCAGACAACTCTAAACTTCGAAAGCTCGATCGAAGTTTCCTATAGGAAGAGGATCAACATCCTTCATCCTTCGTTCTTTTTTTGCAGCAAAGCCATCTCGCAACAAAGCGTCCGTCCGAGATGACGCTCATCCAAGACAGAGCGCGATAACTTTTCTCGATATCGCTCCTTTCTTTCGACCACCATTTCCGACAAATTGCTTTCTAACGACGAGAGGAGCAACGATTTTCGACGCGCATCCTCTCTCTCTCTCTCTCTCTCTCTCTCTCTCTCTCTCTCTCTCTCTCTCGTGTCGTGAATCGAGACGAATGTGTGCAGGCAAACCGATTTCTAACTCCACTTAAACTCGAATGGAACGCGTATGTTTTCCCTTCGGTCGTTCGATTTTCTAAAGATGTCACGCAGTTTCGAATCGAATCCAACGACCGGGAACAGGTGTCCACGTATACACGTGGCCTCTGTTGCACGAGACGGCACACGACGATGGTGTTGCGCGCACCATCGCCGCGGGAGAAAGTAAAAGGGACAATAGATATTCATTGTGCGCGTTAGAACAGCGATGGGATCGAGTTCAAGTGCGCGAGTAACGAAGAGTTTATCGTCAATAGATGATTCGTTTCGTTGTTGAATTGCCGTGTGATTCTTGACAAGATTTTTGATAATTTTTCAAAAATTTTTGATATTATTAAAACAGTTGCCAATTGTTACATAATTTATTTGCTTTAACGTTTATAAAAGATGTTTCCAAGGGAATCGAAGAAACTAAAGAATATAATAGATATCACGTTACGTGAACGCGAAGTGCAGGAAATTTCATCGAATTCGAGTGGTTGGTTTCGTAAAATCATCTGACATGACTCGATTCCATCGCTACATACGCGGTTCCTCGGGATTTATTACCTTGTATTCTCGACACTTTTCCATCCATGGATTTTCCATCGAGACTTTAGCCGAGGTGTTTGTCGACGAGCAACGCTAATGTGAAATTTTATCGAACCACCGTCCAAGTAGTTTATTGGCACCGTACGTCCTCCGGGCGACACGCCGCTTTATGGACTCCTGATTACTTCCGGTGATACATTCCGAATGATCGCGAGCGACGAGCCTCGCGTCGATTTTATCGTGATATATTTATTCGTATTTCCGATCTGCGTGGCAACGAACGATTTGTCCACCAAGAAGACGAAGGACGGATTTATAAAATTGTTGTTTCGTTTGGATAAATGGGAGTGGGAGGGAATCTGTCTATTTTTCTTTCTATAAATTACGAATCTAATTCCGAATTGGTTCTGCTGCTGTCAAGAGCGTTTCTTTGTTATTAAATCATCTTTCGAACGCGATATGGATATATCTTATTTCAATTTCGCGCTTTAACTGGAGATATTGAAAATTTTGTTCATTAAACCGAAGCGTAGTAAGAATTTTGTTTTAAAAATTCATTATAAAGTGATTAAAACCAACAGTGTTTACGTAATAATCGAGAGGAAAAGAAATGTGATAATAAATGGGTTGGCGATTAAATTCTACGAATGAATCAACTTTAATTAACATAGCGAGTAAGCGTTAGATTAAAATACAATCTTCCAATTATCCGGATACCACGATCTATCTAAATAATTCGAATTCTTAACCTAGAAATTAAATTCCACGCGATATCAAGATTATATATCAGTTTAATCTAAACTGAGAATTTGCTATTGCTACTTTAGAGGTTTAATTTTCTTTATTCAACAGGCGTGACAGATTCAAAGAAATTAAATCACTTTCGTTTAGATCCGACCGAGCGGAATACCAATGATGCAGTGTTAATACGCGTTATATCAGCCATCTTATTTGGTTTCGATCGAATATTTCCCTCCCTCCCCTTTTTTTTATCACAATTTACTTATAATATTAATTATAAATAAATTCTTTTCTTCGCGATAGAATTCCAATCGAAGAGACCTCTTCGAATCGACCGATGTTAGAAAAAAATATTCTAAAAATTTAAAAACTCGATGCAAATCTATTCAAACATCGAACGATATTATCAAAAATTGTTTTCGCATCATTTGCAAATCATGTAAAACATATTTTATTCCTATTTCTAAACGAAAAGATTGGTCGACTCGACCAGTCAAGTAGGTCGAAATTGATCCGTTTTCGAAAGCATCCTTTATTAACGCGGTTAATAAACCAATTATGCATTCATTGATCCATTCCACGAAAAGAAAAAAAAAAGATTTACGATCCGCAATTTATCATTTCTTCGCGCGATTTCTATCTCGAGATCATATTAATATACACGCGTATTAACAAAAACCGCATAAATTCTGTCAAGATTAGTTTGATAAACGCGTTGACGAGCCTTTTTGTTTTTTCTCCTCCCCCCTCCCCCCTCTCCCCACCAAGTATACTCGCAGTATAAACACGAAAGCCAGAAACAGCTGGCGGCTGTTCGAGGCAAATTTTCCATGTAAAAGATATAACCTAGTTCGCGACACTCTACGATGTCTCCAAGTTATTACACGGGAACAATTTTTTCTCTTTTTTTTTTTTTCGCAAGAAAGTAGTATCCGACGTAAACCACAAACGCAACACAACAATCGACGAGCGATCCGTACGCTCTAGTCGAACGAGATAAACAAGCCTCGCAGCTAAATACCGGTAAATAGAAAACGCGAAACGGCGTAGTTGTCGGTACACGACATCTCGAGACAAATATTCGAAAAAATAAAAACAAAACGTTGACTCACCCGATTTGAAACAGCTCTCTCTCTCTCTCTCTCTCTCTCTCTCTCTCTCTCTCTCTCGCTCACGTTCTACGCAGCCGAACGTTCACCCTTTCTTCATTCTTGGCCGTCCATTCCTCAAGATCCAAAACTGGAGGACAAAAACCGCTGCTGGCCCCCGCGCGAGAACACTGGAGCAGCTCTCTCGATCACGATCACATGTGCCACTGAACTCCGAGGAACCACCCTGTATCCCTTCTGTTCTTCTGGTCGAAAGGTGAAATCCGGTCGGATCCAGTCTGGCCGGATGGCTGGATGGTAGGCCGGCCCCAAAACAGTGATTCACCACGAACCACCGACCCACGGCTTTTCCACGGAAGTCGATTCACAAATACGCTCACGATATCGATATCGAGAAAATTTCCGCGACTATTTCCCGACTGTTTCAAAATTTACGCGACGGGGTTTACGATCGGGGTCATGGATCATCGAGATCGAGCAAGGCCGGGCGTACGATCATCGTAGGTACGATCACGCGCCAACTGGACGTTAGATCCTGCTGCGCGGACGAGACGGAGATCGATGGGCGATAATCGGTTGATGGGAGAGCTCCACGTGCACGCGGTACGACTACCGGTCGCGCTTTGAGGATCGGCTGATTGCGTCCAGCGTGGACGAGGAACTCGTGGTGGAGAGTAGGGAGCCGCGTGCCTGCAGAAACCACGTGTCGTCTCCCGCCAGGAAGAATACCGGTGATTTCACGCGCCTCTTCTGAAGGTCCACCTTCTTTCTCTTTCTTTCTCTCTTTTCTCTTCGATTCCGTATCGTATCGCGATACACTGCTTCTATCGACTTCTATCGCTGTCCTCCCCTCCCCTCCTTCCCTTTCTTCCTCGAGTAAAAATTTCCGCCGCGGCTTGACGATCGTTTTTTTTTCTTTTCTGTTTTTGGAGAGATGCGACAGAATTCGTACGCGATGGAAGCGAGGATGATGGACAAAAGGTGGTGGAGAGGCGGGATGGAATTATGAAAATCGTCACGGGAGAGACACACACGTGCGATCGACACGACACGCGGTCGAGCACTACGGGTTTCGACGACTAATATCGACATCGAGGACAAACGAAACGAGACGTAAACACCCGATAGCGAGACCGCGACCCGATCGAAAGGAAAATTCCTCGCGGTTAATTCCTCGCTTCCGGAAACGATGACGCGACTCTAATTTATTTTTTTTGTCGAATTCACCGCCCCAAAATGGGGGTGGCGATAAAGAAATCAAGCAAAAGATTGACGTTTTGTCGCGAGCGTAAATTTTTTTTTTTAATTTTTTCCTTAATTTATTAAAACTTAAGATTAACACTAATTATATTATGCATGTATAATTTAATTTATTAATTAAATATTTAATAATAATATTATTTTTTTCAATGAGAATATATAATTGTATTTTTGATATCGTAAATTTATTCTTATCATTATCTATTGTTAATTTCTTTATTTATTCGTTGCTGTAATCTTTCCTACGCTTTGTTCATCGAAGATGTATATCTGACTTGTATATCTATCCACAGATGTTAAATAATTTTTCTAACAATTGCAACGAAACACAACTCGCATTCGACAATCGTTTCAAAAAAAAAAAAAAAGAAAAAAATCGATCTTGTCTATCGATCGAAAAATACGTTTCCAAGTTGCATCGAGGGGGAGAGAACGAAGATGGTGAAAGAGAGAGAAAGAGAGAGATGGAAAATCGGAGAAAGGGTGAGGCCGTTATAGAACGCAAAAAGAAGATCGTAGATATATTTATCGTGTATAAGGTGCACGTATACGCGCGTAACTGCCTACCAGTACGGTCCCTCTCGCCTTTGGGCGAAGTGGGTCGACCTCTTGGAGAACGCAGTCGAGGCCGACGGCCTCCTCTCGCGCTACCTGTCTCGTCCGGAGTCTAGTCCTGCGCCTCCTCCCTCTGTGGACATCGCTTCGAGCGATCGTTTCAGGGATCGCCTCCGTGCTTGCACGAGTTATCTCACAAGATTGCGCCCGATCGGAGTGGAATGAGAATGGAATCCAAGATGGATATCTCGTAAAGGATATGCCTATGTTGTTTCCCCTCCAACGAAATAATAAATTTATCACGTAATCCGTATTATTATTCGGTTTTTTTTTTTAAGAACTTTAACAATCCACGCGTCTTATCTGTGATGTTAAAATTTCTCGTCGAAATTTGATTTCAAGTTAACGTAAAAATTAATTTCTTCTTATTAATTAAACTCTCTTCCGGATTTTAATCTATGAAATATTGGATACGTATTTCTACGAAGATGACACACATTATTACAACGACACAATTTAGTATATATTAATCATTGTACCGGAGTTTTATATTATTCGTTTTAAAAAAAAAAAAAAAGGTATCGTATCGTACAGCTGCTCTCATCTCGTGAAATCGGTTCTAGGCGGAGAAGAAGACGAAGATGGATAGGGAAACGAAATCTGAAACCGTGCGGCTCGAGGATCATTAATATTCGAATATGACCGGGTCGATTTCCATCGGGAAGAGAATATTTCGAATCGAAATATCGGTTGGATTCTACATTGTAGACAAACCGAAACGCGATCTATGCCTCTCGACGGCCACTCTCACCAGTTTTTGAAGTTTTCGCTCTAGTTCGCTGGCCTAACGAGTACCGTCTTCCGCGAACCGGTAAGAAAAATTTGCCGCGCTCCTCCACATCCTCGTTTAATTGTTTCTCCATTGACTGGCTAATTCGTTCTTTCATTCCATTTCGAACGTGCATTTCGATTCACATTCTTATGGTATCGTACAATGTGATAATCCCGAAAATTGCGAATGAAAACCAAAAGGAACTTTTTCTTCGTTTAAAAAGTGAATCGAAAAATCCGTGGAATCGAAAAAATTGTTATAATTCTCTTCACGTGTTTCAAATTCATTTCCTTTCGTAGGAAAGAAATTTCTAACAATCTAGGAGAAGAATTTACTTATTACGAGAGACGAATGGTGTCTCGGTATGCAAAGTAGACTTACTTTTTATTCCCTTATTCCTTCCCGCGAATACGAAATTGTAGAAGCGTCTCTTCGAGATAATAGCATTTGAATATTTACTTTCCCCGAAATTGCTCGTTCAACTCGAGCAACTTAATTACCTCGCTACGGAACGGCCGCAATATCGCCACTTATTTATGAATACCATTATGGAGAGTACAAACGTTCGAGTTCCCTTTCCGAACAACTTCCTTCCTTCCTATCGTTTATATTTGCATCCCGAATCACCACTGTTCGATCGAAACTTCTGATCAAAATTTCTTCAAGTAGACGCGTATACCATTCGTTAATCGACACGATTAATAAATTACCTTCGTTCATTTCCATTGCTGGAATAATTAGATATGGTGGAAAGAGAAAAGATGGCGAGAAGTTTACAGTTTACGGCGTTGACAATCGTGTTGATAATCGAGCATCGCCTTCGCGATGATAAAGAACGGATAAGCGGTTAAGTTTTAAGAACTCTCCATAGAGGATAGTGCATCGTGCGATATCGGGTTCAGCCGGACGCTCTCCATACGCGAAATGCATTTCCTTTCTCGGCTCGTAACTGGTGCGTAAGTGGTGCCGGGGAAATAACAACCGATTCCGCGCACACGCGTTCACCATATTGTTGTGAACCTGAAGTTCCTCGTGCAGATTATCTGGCACAGGAGAAACTTTTTAGTTTCGATATCCCGCACGGGGATTAACGCCGCGCGGATAATTGCCGACAGACCAATTAGCACGAGAGGAATTAACACGCGTTTCACGGCTGCGGATATTTAAAGGCTATCGTTTGATCGTATTTACCAGAAGATAATTACATTGTCGCGAGGTTAACAAGGTAAAATATTCATATTGTGAACAGTCACGCTACTAGTAATGTAATGGACTTACGCTCGGCGACAAAATGATCGTGTATACCTTATGATCGTCTCGAGACAATGCAATATATCTGAATTTTACGCTTTATAAAACCGTATAAAATATACCTTTCTTAATAATATGGAAAAAGATTAAAATTTTCCTTTTTTACTAGAGAGAATATTGCAAAGACAATTATAATTATAATTATAATTTCATTCCAATATTTTCGTCAAATGTATCGTTTTTACGTTATTGATCTTTCTTTTTTAAAATCAAATTAATAGTGAGAAAATTATAGAGTGTGCTGTATGCGTTTTGTCGCAGAGAGTGTATTCGTTAACGAGATTGCATCGTTATCGTTTCGATTTCATCACGTTGATTAACAAACGGAGAGTTTGTAGATTCGATCTTATCCGGTGAAAATATCGCGACGTTTTTCACCGGATGATAACTCGACGACCCGTTGAAAATTGGCGCGTTAATTAAACCGCCTGCTTTGTGTTAAACGCGTCCACTAATTGCGCATGCGTGAGCCGAGATATATTGCGATGAGCTAGATACCGAAGCGAGAGAGAACGAGGAAAAGAGAGGCGAATGGAAATGTTATTATATAGAGGATTCCTTGCACGAGAAGTCCTTGCAGCGTTCGGTGATTCAGAGTGGAAATGTCGGGTAAACGTCTAATGAAACCGAGATTTTTTTTTTTTTTTTTCGTCCAGGTGGTAAATAGACAATTGACACGATTAATTAACCCATTTTCCGTGGTTGCGCTCTCTGTTCCGCCGCCTCGACTCTTAACCTTTCGAGCAAGTTTCACTTGTAATCTCCTATTATTATCTGACCGTAATAGAAACTTGACTCGAACCATCGATATCCCTCAAACTCGACCAGCTCTACCGGTGAACCGTTCCCCGCTTTCCACGCGGTGTGACGCAAACCTAACCTAAAATTTTTTTTATGGAGTTAACACGTGTTTAATTATTATAAAATTATTATATATAAGTAGCACGATAATACGATAATAATGATTTAGATTTAGAAGGAAAGGATTCAATCGAAGCAAGTATGTATGGCAAATTTGAATTCTACATTCTTCGAGACGAATTTATAGAATTTATAGAATAATTTTGCTGTTTTTTTTTTTTTTTTTTTCTCAACAAAGTTCGAGGAGATCTTTTGAAACACGCGGCCGAGATGCATTTTCTTTTCACGGTACACTTGCGTCGCGTATATCGCGGCCGCCGTTGATTCCATTGTTCCCAGTCCGACAGCAGCGGAGGTCCGACAGGACTTGAAAAAGGAATTTCTCCTCGACAATCGCTTTCTTTCTTTCCTTCTTTCTTCCTTTTCTTTTTTTTTTTTTTTTCACCATGGCTCGTTCAACGCGGTGGTTCATGCGATCGATGCCCAAGACGCATCATGTAGTAACAAGAGCAACAAGATGTTTCCTCTTCGAGTTATCTTCGAGATAATATATTTATCGGATTAGAGAAGTCGTTCTCAAGGATCGAGAGAAGAATTACACATCCCGATCGAATTGATCGATCCATATTTTCTCCTCCTCCTTGACAACCAGGATTACAATAAGATTAATCGATGCAAAATGGAGTTGTTTAAAATTTGTAGTAACAAGATTTTCTATGTAAAGAGGTTGCCACGGGATTCGTTTAAGATTTATCCAGCATTCGTGTTTCGAAAAAGAATATATCTGTATATATTTAATCACGTAGCTAGTTTTGGAGAAGGATGAGTTCCAGGACCGGTGCCAAAAAATAACAATTCTCTATAATTCACTTACTAAAATCTTGAAATATTCTTTCGACACTCACACGCGCCTTTCTATTTCTTTTGTTATTATTGTTATTTAATCAGAGCTCTATGCTATCCAAAGTAAGAACAATAACTGTTTAAAAA